GCGGGGATTCGAACCGCCGACTTTCTGATCGGCAAGTCCTAGGCTCTGTGGTTTAACCCACAGCGCCACCCGCGTCCCAGTCAACTGGGTTGGTGACTGTTAAAAACGGTGATAAATTCCTAACCAGGTATTAAGTTGGAAAAGAAGATTATGCCGGCTAATACGGAGAATGCATACTGACCTTCAGCATTGTGCCACGAAAATCAATTTCACGTTAGGCTTCAGGAATCCTTGGATCAGATTCCCATCTGGAGTGGAAGGATCTGAGATGGTGAGCTCCTGTCTTTTTAATAGCTGTGTAAAACTTCAGCAGGTTCACCTTTTCTCACTCCCATATAATGAGTTGCACCTGCTGTAACACCTTCCTGTATATTGCTTTTACAAGTATAGGAGGTGACTCCCCCTTATACCCTTCTCGTTTGCTTGCATCAGAAGGAGCCATATCCATTGCTGCTGGTTGTACTTTTTCGCAGTTCAGCTAGGAAACCAATTTCAAATCTCACTGCAGCTGCATGGGGACTCAGTCAGATGGGTGCAACTTGCCGCAGCAGACATGCTGTTAGTGCATGCATGAATCAGTTTCAGGTAAGCCTGTGAGGAACAGAGACAGAAATTTGAAGGTCAGCCTCTAGATTGCATTTTATTGTAATAGAAAAAAGCGTTCTCTTGCAGGTTTGAACACACCTCCAGATAGTCTCCAGAAGTGGTAAAAGAAGAGCATAGAGGCTTTGTACTGACACCACACCCCTCTGGGTTTTTAAAAATTAAATATGTGAATACATGTTCTGTCTGTGTTTCACAAGAACCTATTTCTTTTCCCCTCCCCTTTAGAGGCAGAGGGAAATGTGGGGGGAGAATAAACATAATCATCTATGCTTGTTTTCTTAATACTTCTGTGGTACGTCTAACATACCTCAGACTGAAGTCTCAATGTGATATTTTAAAATTATCTCACTACCTAAAATGGGCATAAACTTGAAAGCTGCATTTGTGAATTTTGGATTGTTTTCTGTCTGCTTTGGTTCATGAGTAGGCGGCTCCTGATTTGAAGCTACTGTACCTTCTGTATTTAAGTATAAATAGAGCCTATTTCAAATCTTTCATTTGTGATTGTTGTAATCCAGGTTATTCTGTTTAGAACTTGTTTTTTTTTAAAGCATAACTTGTTGGGTAAGTGAGTTTAAACTTGATTCATTCTTTGATGTTAATGAAACACCAATTTATCGGAAGGCCCTGCAGCCCTAATGAGCAGTTTCTTTAAAAAGCACATTTAATCAAGGTTTATTTTTAACTTGTTTAAACAGATCTAATAGTTTGTGCTGATTTCATTTCAGTATAATAATTGCTAGCAATCCTATTAGTAAGTCATGGAACATGGAAGTTAACACAAATTCCATTCTAATGAGGAAAGTAGAGCAGCGAAAACCCTCTTGGCCAAGGAAGGGTTCATGCTAGGAGTGGAGTGACAGAAGCCCTTGGACATTCTGCTGACAATGGATTATTTTTGTTTTTATAGGGATGTCAGGCATGAGTGGTTAGTATTTAAGTGGGTTTTATTGTTCGTTAGAAGTGAAGCAGTCATACTATGTTGTACAGAGTGAAGCTGAGCAAAGTTAAATTTTGATGTTAGGAAAATATAATGGACCTCTAAGAAAAAGCCAGATTTGCTTTCCTTGTTCTGCGTTTTCTAATTTGTATTACATTGGGTGGGTGGGGGCTGTGTAGTGTATGTATGTGTGCAACTTTTCGGTATTCTATATTTTGCTCTGAATCAGGATTTCAGGAATGCATTAAGTAAGGAATTCCATGAGGTAACAATTGCGAAGTACAACTTTTGCTGGTTCATCGAAGGATCACCGGCAGGAAGTGTCAACAGAATATAGGGGTGGAAGTTTAGAAGTATAAGAAGGGAAGAGAATTAGGCTGTAGGAAGGGGCCCCAGTGAAGCCAGGAAGATGTATATGATTTGACGGGGCTTTTTAAAATTTCCAGTGCAGGTGGAAGAAAGAGTTGGGTCTGACTGGGCTGTAAAAAAAAAGCTCAACAACAAAAAACACTCCTGACTTTACCAGTGTAGGCACTCTGCTGTTGCCTTGTGGGTTGGGATGATGATGCACCCCTTTTCATTTATCTTTGGATTTAACATAGGGTGTATCAGAATTGAAAACATTTTAATTCTCATTCACGTCCATCCCCTGCCCTGCCCTGCCCTACCTCATGTAGCCATCAGAACTGTAGTTCTGTAGCGGAAGCCAACTCCCTTACTGAGATACAATTTTGAAGGTTCTTTCAGAGACCACACCTAAACTGGTATAGATTAATAGATATAAATGTCCATGTTATGTAAATAGTTAATTTCTGAGGCAGGTTGTGGGTGTGATTGTCTTTGTGCATGTTATCCATTCTCTTTGGGTTAAACAATACCTCCGCAAAGCTGATTTCCTAATGGCATAAAATACTTTTATTGTACAGCAAGGGAAGAACATGGTATCAGTTGCTTGTAGTGCAAGTACAATTTGTGCACAATTGATAGTCTGCAATCTCCACTGCAGGTCCACCTTCCTTTTCATCAGCCTTTGAAACACAGTGTCATTGTGTTCGAACACCTAGGCACTCCAATGTGAATCTGAGAACTAGGAAATTGGGAATATTTCTGTGCATAGGATTATGTGTACACACTGGTTCATTTGATAAAGCCATGAAAATGGTAAGCAAGAAAGAAGACATGCTTACATTAGTGTTTTTGGAAAATGTGATGGTAGAGTACACATACTTCTGCGGGGAAGCACACATCTATGTCACATATATAGAGTGAGGCAAGAACAGTAACTGGTTGTCAATTAGTTTCTGGACTCAGTTCAAAGCACTGGTGCTAACCTATAAAGCCTTAAACAGCTCAGGATATCACTACTTTCAGGATCATCTCTACCCATATGAACTGACCCCGGACCCATCTGAGGCCCTTCTCTGTGACCCCCGTCACTGAGAGGTTCGGAGGATGACAACATAAGAACGGTCCTTTTCTGTGGTGGCTCCCTGTTTGTGAGATGCTTTTCCCAGAGAGGCTTGCCTGCTGCCATCATTGTATATCTTTAGGCACCAGTCGAAAAAATTCCTCTTTATCTAGGTCTTTCGGCCATTAAACAATCCATGTTTGTCCTTTTAGAAGTGGAAGGATTGTTATTATGAGTTTTCCTTAAATTGTTTAATTGTTATTATTTTGTTATGTAAGTTATGTGGTACGCTGCCCTTGGATCTTCGGATATAGGGTGGTATATAATTTGAGTAAATGATGATGATGTAAAACATCATGGTGAATTATGCCCTAAATATACCCTTAGTGTAGGCTTTGTTTTGTTCTACTATTCTAGGTAAACATTAAGGACGTTTGAAGCTACTTTCAGGTCAGTCTGTTCTTCCATCTGGCCCAGTATTATTTACTCTGACTGGCAGTGACAATCAGAGTCTTGAGCAGAGGCATTTCATACCAGCTGCTATCTGGTCCTTTGAACTGGAGATGCCAGGGATTGAAGCTTCTGCATACAAGGTATTTGCTGTGCCAGTAAACTACAGGTCATTACATCTGGACGATTCCTTAAGAGTGGATAGGATATACTAGAAATAGAAAAGACCTCCGGGGTTTGTGTAAAGGTGATCAATTCATTCCATAGGTTTGGTGGATAGGACAACTGTGATAATGGCTAATGAGGTATTTTGGGACAATGGGCAGGTACACAAATCTAGCTGTTCCTCCTATGCATAAAATGACTTGGGGTGCACACACACAGCCAAAATCCACATTCACTGTGGCACTATGACCGATTATACTGTAAACCACCCTGTGATCCTTGGATAAGGGCGGTATATAAATTAAGTAAACAAACAAATGTTCTCTCTGCGTAAGCATTTCAACTTGACAGGCAGAATGATCCCACCTCTCCTCCCCCTGTTCTGGGTGTTCTCCCACCCCCCCTGGACCAACTTTGGGGAGGAGAGGGAGGGGAAGCCCCATTGCACAAGTCCTTCTTCCGGGCTTCCGCTGATGGAGCTCATTAGGCGAATCTTCCTCAATGCAACATGTCATGCATACAGTTGTTTTCCTTGTTTTATTTCCCTGCAGAAGCCCATTAACTGCATGTCTGTATCTGTGCTGCCTGGAAGGGGTACAAGCAAAGGGAGAAGACTACCAGGCATGCCCTAAGCACAATAGGAGACTGATATGGCAAAAGTGCCAAAGCAAACAGACTCGGGAGGTTGCAGATCTGCCGGCATTATACCTGCTTTGCCTGGTAATCTCTATTCTAGAGACTGGGCACCAAACCAGAATTATATGATTTGGCCTTGGCTGGCTGATTTTCTCCCCAAAGGAATAACTGGTGCAAGGAAGCCTGAGCCTGTGACGTGGGAGGAAAAGGGGATTTATCTCTGCAGATCATAATCCAGTGGAGCTTTCCTATGATTGTGAATAGCAGGTGTGGAGTGGGGAGGAGAGAGAAGGAGGAAGATTCCATAAGGACTGCAGTAGAGACAAAGGCTTAAAACTCCACTCCCCACACTATGGTCCCACTTTCCCATGACAGCCAAGTAATGATAAACTATGTACCAAACAAAATCCCGAGTGTGGGTAGACAGATGACTGAGATTAGGCATGTAACACACACACATATGCACATACATCACATGCCACAATCACAGTCATACCTCGGGTTACAGACGCTTCAGATTGTGGTTTTTTGGGGATACTGACCCGCCGAAACCCTGAAGTACCATAACGGGTTACTTCCGGGTTTTGGCAGTTGTGCATGCGCAGAAGCGCTAAATCGCAACCCGCGTGTGCGCAGATGCGCCGCTGCGGGTTGCAAACGCTGCGGATTGCAAATGTGCATCCTGCACGGATCATGTTCGCAACCCGAGCGTCCACTGTATGTTCTTTACTCAGCCAGTGCCTTCACATGCATTGATGTTCTACCTCCATGTACTCGATTTCATGATGAATATATGCAGTGGCCTTGTGTCAATTATTTTGATGCATTGGAGTAAATATATAATTCAACGCACATGGCTACATAAATCCAGCTGAAGCTTAAAAATAATGCTGATTAGTATCAACACTGTTACTTAGCAGTATTTCGTACTGTAAATACAAAGAAAAACAGTAAAATAAGTTGGAACTCATCTGTTCACTGACAAATGCATGCTCTAATAAATAATGTCGTCTGGCTGAAGTCTCTTTTTTCTGCCGTAGAAAAACAAATTCATACTATTTGTACTTAATGCTGATACACTCTGCTCTCTGAATACTAAGTTGCTATGTATTTACAAATGTGAAAGAACCTGTGGTCCTTTTATGCATCAGGTCGTCATAGAAACTAATTAACTTTCATTTCTGTGTCAGGGTAAAGTACTGTAATACAGATGTAAATTGTAGTTCAGGAATTATTTGAATGAAACTAGAAGGAGGAAAGCATCAAAGTCCTTTTAAAAAATCCAGTAGAAATGAGAAATGCACAACACATCATAGCACACAATGCATCACAACATAATAAAATGCTAATAAGGTGGCAGAAAGAGGATGCTCTACATCAATATGGTACTTGTGGTAAATATGTAGAAAGGAGTTCGTATGTGTGCAGTCCACAAGATAGTACAATTACAGCAGTTGGAATTATTCAGCTGATAAATCAGTTCCAGAAGCTCTGATTCAGAGGATTAAGAAGTAGGTATGTAATAAGGTGAGATGCACATACTGTCCATGAGCCAAGCTACCATGTAACCAAGACCATGGGGGGTTAGAATCGATTTTCTTACAGAGCTGTTCTCCATACTCCATGGCAAGCTGCTCTTGAATCTCTTGGAGGCCAGAGCTCTATCAAGAGGTTAAAAGATAAGGAGTGACAAAAGAAGACAGAGAGGAGAAAGTTACAGTAGTCAAGAGATGAGGCAGGATCAGTGTGTGAACCATAATTTTTAACGTGGGGGTGATTTTGACCAAAACCTGGTGTAGAGGGTGGAGCCAGAGTTGGAACAGCAGCTGATGCAAGTGCTGAGATAGGGAGATCTAGGACTGATCTGTGGAGTTATGGAAGAGAAGCATTAATCAGCCCCAAAGGGAGCTTTTAGGCCAGGAAAACCCAGAAGAAAGCAGATGAAAAGGTTCTCTATGAAAACACTGAGTGAGAGATGTTAGCATTTCCTTGACCCAACTTCACTTCAAACCAAATGCCCCTAAGACTAAATAGTAAATTGCATTTTTGTCCTGTATTTCCTCTGAGTATCTCAGAGCAGTATAAATAGTATCCCTTCTCATTTTGTCCTCGGAAGAACTTTGTACAGAAAGTTAGGCTGAGAGAAGTAGACCTGTCCAATACAGTGACTGAATAGGATTTGAATCTGGATCTTTCCAGTATGTTCCTGACATTATGGCTGAAATTACACCACTCTGACTCCTCTTCCACTCCCACCTACATGTTCACCTTGTTGTTTCTGCTGTAACAGCTGGTGTAGCTGCAGGAAGTGAGGGGGATTTAGAATTCTCAGGAAGAAAACTTTCTCCAGTATCCTTCATAAATCCCTGATTCAAATCAAGCCTAGGGAAATTTGCCCAGGGAAATTCACCTCCTACGATTAGGAATAGAACCCAAGGACGGGGGGCTGAAAACCTAGGCCATGAAAGGAGTCAGTTAGGAGAGCGTGATCAGTTTCACAAAAAACAACCTGGAGTTTTAGGAAGGATGCCAATGGAGATAACGGGTGATTCTGGTGAGGACTGTTACTTTTGCGTGTGTAGGGAACACAAACCAGATTGAAAGTGAGTGTTAGAAACACAGTTCAATGCACCCTACACAGTGGGTGGGTGAGTTAGACCTAAGGCAAAAGTCAGGTAGAGAAAGCAGGAGGCAGCTAGGTCAGATCTCTGACAGTAATATTGAAATCTACAAGAAGTATGCTTGAAGTATGTTTAAGGAACTCATGATGGCTCAGTCAGTAGAGCATGAGACTCTTAATCTCCGCGTTGTGGATTCAAGCCCCACGTTGGGCAAAAGATTCCTGCTCTGCAGAAGGTTGGAGCCTCCAGGTCTCTTTCAACTCCACAATTCTATGAATGGGCACATGGAGTATGGTGAGAAGCTGGCCCATGTTTCAGGACTGAAACAAAAGTTGAGAGGGTGCCAGGGAGATGCAGAAGGGAGTAGAGACTGATGTTTGAGAAGAAATCTGTTAGTGGTGGGGTGGGGAGGATGTTGGGTTGAGCTTGTGGTGGTTGTTTTTTACAGGGGTCAGTACCACTTCCAAGACCTTTAGCATGATGCATGCGGGAGAAATGATGTCAAAGAAGAGAACAGCAATAACTGCAGGGTCAGAGGCAGAGAGCCTGATTTTGTTGAGGGCAAGGGAAGGGATTGAGAGAGAAAAGCTTGGTGGAGGTTGACTGCTCTCTGGGAAGAAGAGAAAGGAGGGGAAATGCATTGAATGGGCATGGGATTGGAGCAGAGTGTGAGTACATGTCGTTATGCTAGATGCAAACCGCGAGAAATTTAGGGATAGTGCAGGGTTGGGTAGACTAGTACGCCCAAGGAATAAAAAAAGGTCTCATAGAAAGAGATGGAAGTTTTGGGAGTCATAGATACAGTGAAGTCAATCTCCTGGAGTATGTGGGCCTCTCAGTAGCTGTCTCTTTTAGGAAGGCGTACCTCAAGGTAGTTACAAGAGTTAAATAGGTGGAGTGGAAGGAGCAGCGGCTAGCAGCTGCAAGCTACTTTCTTCTTGATGCCTTCTCACTGCAGAGTCCAAGGTCTGAAATCTCCTGGTCACAAACAAGAGATGTTCTTTAGTAGTGTTTTGACAGCTGCCCAAGACTGGGTTGAGAGACAGTGACAGCAGACAATGTGTTCTTCGCATTCCAGAATAAAAGGAACGAGGGCAGGAGAGACCAGATGTTAGTTTATTGAGAATCTAAGAATTTAAGAAGTTCCTTGCTGGATGAGACGAAAGGGCTACCCTGATCAACGCAATTGTTCCAATCTGTAACCAACTAAGTGGCTTTGAAAACCCTTCATGGCATGAAGATTATGGTTATTGCCTGTTAACCAATCAGCTTTTGGTGAATTTTGTTTCCAGCCGCATTTTTAGTTCAGTTCTGTGTGGATTTGCTTTTACTGTGTCGCTGCAAAATCTGGTAGAGGTGTTATTCAAACCAGCAACAAGAGCATTATTTTTGCTTTACATTAGTCAAGCAACCAAGATGAGAATAAATAAGTTGTTTAGAATAAATAAGTTTAATGAAGTTGTTTTTATCAGCAGTTTTTAGCCAAGAGGGGTGTGGATGAGGCGCATATCTGCCTGGACCATGTGGGTGAAGCATGAATTACAGCCCATGTTCATTTTCAGATTGGTATAGATGCGAAGTGACTTTAATAATTATAAATACAAACACTTGGAAAATACATTGTGGTGCACGAAGCCACAAGGATTATGTTGAAACTTCCCATAAGGCTATTTAACAGATTTCCCCCCTGCAGTAAAATCCTTTTTCACCTGATTTATAGCATTTGCGACTCTGAGCCCCTGTATTTTCTCTGAACAAGTTGCACAGTGCACATAGTAGACAAAGTGTTAAAGAGCTAGGAAAATATTATTTCATCACTCCTGTTCCATTAGAATTCACTTGGGTGGCTGAGAAAATGGTTTATGGATTAGAGAAAGAAGAACAAGCTAAAACATTTCATACCTTCATCTCTGATAAATTCCCCAAACTCATTTTTCGCATCTGAGCTATAAATAACAACCATACTTTTTGCTAAAAAGAGCTTTTTTCCTATCCTAGGTCTTTTGTCTTGGAGATGAATGCTATAATAAATTTGCAGTCTTGGGGGGAGCATTGCTTGAACTATAACAGCAAGGTTTACAACTGTTGCTTGTATTATGAGGCAGATAAAAAACAACTGTGGAGCTTGATCTTTGTCACGGAAATGGATTAAGATTTCAACCTTCAGCTTGGGTCAAGTGTATGATCTTGCCCAAAGCACCCTGCAATTTAAACACTGTATGTGCGATTCTATTCTTAAACCCAATTCTTCCCTCTTTAAATTCTCCCAAGATACAAAAGTTTGTGGTCTTCTGCATGGAATCAAAGGCAGAAATGTCATATAAAATTAAGAAATCTGTTTTGGGAGTACATCTTTTCATTACTAAGCTGGCTGTAGATCAACTATATTTGGTGACTGTTGGTGACACTTCATTGAATAAGTGCTAAGGAAATGCTTGGAAATTCATTCTAGATTTTTCAGTAGACAGGTTAGTAAACTGACTGCTATCTTCTTCCAGGTTTGGTGTTTTCACATGTCAGGAAATAGGCTTTTGGGAACCCTCTGTTGGACAGAACCAGACCAGTTTTGTTATGTGCAAGTGCACCTTCGAAAACATGGTTTAGCAGGACAATCGTATGCATTTCTACTAAATGCAAGCAAGCTTCATAGAGTTTGCTGTGACTTGCTCCCAGATATGTGTAGATAGCATTGCTGCCCTTTTTCTTTTTAGCAGTAGTTAGTTCAGCATCTGCTCTTATAAATGCATAATATTTGCTTTAAAGATTAAACAATAACTTTAGTTTCCATGTTTAACAAATATAGGCAAACATCTTGACTTTGTGTGTTAATAAACAAATTAATTTTTCATCATCACCAGATTCATTTTTGTGAACCAAAATACTTTATCTGTGCAGTAAAAAAAGATGGTATAAAACTATACTGTATAATTCAGATCCTCTTGTATTTGGCTTGTATATGAAAAAACACAATGCAGTCTTAGCATCAAAGATCATATGGGATAGCTAAAGTTCCCCAAATATGGGGAAGGGAGGGTCTGTGTATTTACTATGGAGCAGTGATTTGAAAAATTGATACTTTTTGTGAACTGTTTTCACATTTACTTGATTTCTGAAGAACTCCTGTGTGAGGTAAAGCATACCAACAGCATCTTCTGAGGTAGGATTGTTTTTCATGAAGCTTTGGTCAGGCCTGCTAAAAAATGCCCATGAACTTAGAGTATCTCCCCAAACACATAAGAACATAAGAAGAGCCAATGGCCCATACAGTCCACAGTGGCCAACCAGATGTACGTGGGAAGCCCCAAGCAGGGCATGAAACATCCAGCATTGTAGACAGTGCCTCAGAGGTGAAGACTTGTAATGGTGGGGAAACTGTCTTTGGGTGATTAATATTTTCCGCACTGCAGTACCTGATATGCAACCAAATTCTCCTTACCAATACAAACAGCCAAACCTTTCCAGTATGACAAGATCACCATGGGATAGCTTGGTCACCTGTGTGAACTCCTTCTTAGAAGCATATCTTTTTAATGAGGGGCTATCCCCCCACCTTTTTTAAAGAAGCTTTTTATTAAAAGTTTTCAACAAAAATACAGTAAAAGTCAAACTAGTCTGAAGAAAAAGAATAACGAAAAACCAAAATAAGAAGAATCAGAAAGTGAAGAGAAGAGAAAGAATAAATACAAAGGGCCATCATCACATTTATATAATATCCTTTATCCATACACAGAAAGATAGATCCTCCCAGATCCCACCTAGGAGCAGGGACCACTGTCTTCCAACTGTCACCTTCCTGTGTAGGTCCTTAATCCTTCCCAGTTTATATCACCATACGCACTTCTGGGAATAGCACTAGTCTCCGAAACATATAACTCTGATTTAAGCCCAATAACCTTCATCAGAGACAACATCTTGCTGACAAAGGTCCATATAGTTTTCCCAGTAGTGATGTATGGAAGTGAGAGCTGGACCATAAAGAAGGCTGATCGCCAAAGAATTGATGCTTTTGAATTATGGTGCTGGAGGAGACTCTTGAGAGTCCCATGGACTGCAAGAAGATCAAACCTCTCCATTCTTAAGGAAATCAGCCCTGAGTGCTCACTGCAAGGACAGATGATGAAGCTGAGGCTCCAATACTTCGGCCACCTCATGAGAAGAGAAGACTCCCTGGAAAAGACCCTGATGTTGGGAAAGATTGAGGGCACAAGGAGAAGGGGACGACAGAGGACGAGATGGTTGGACAGTGTTCTCGAAGCTACTAACATGAGTTTGACCAAACTGTGGGAGGCAGTAAAAGACAGGAGTGCCTGGCGTGCTCTGGTCAATGGGGTCATGAAGAGTTGGACACGGCTCAATGACAAAACAACAATACTATGAGTAAAACTTAGTTGACTGCCACTCCCGTGTTTTTGGCCAAGTAGAGGTGGTTTTATGAAGCAGCTCATTCATTCCTTCTTAGTCACAGACCTCTAAGTGTCCTCAACTCAGGAAATGTTTGGGGCATTCAGCACCTCAAATTGTCAGTCAAGCCAATTTGAAGTGCCCATTAATCAATTAGTTATGAACTTCATCTTTATGCCTTGAGACAGTTAATATGTCAGGTCTTTTGTAGTGTCGCTGAAGCTGCACATTCTTTGTGAAATACTAATAGAACTTGGCTATTAGGATGAGCATGAAACAAAAAATTATCTTCCCATGAAAACTGAAGATACAAAGATAGGTGACAAGGAACTGCCATGGTGACATTTGTATTATGCCTTTTGAAGTGCACTGTCATCTTACATATGTATGGCAGTAATATTTGGAAAGAATGTTAAGTCCCAGATAGCACTGAGCATTTTTCATGAGCATAACATATGTAGCGTTTGTGAAACTTAACGTGGGACTTGTATTTGCAAATTTACTTTGGAATACACATCAAATATGATCATGGTCCAACATACTACCTCACAGTGGCAGTTAATACATCTGAATGCCTAGAACAGGGGTAGCCGATCTGATGCCCTCCAGAAGTTCAGGACTACAGGAGTTGGCCTAGAAAACAAACAATGATAGCTAAGATATTTCTGTTCTCCTTGAGACCTTCGTATCTGGCCATGGTCTCATCAAAAAGCAGTTTCTATACCTAAAGGCACCTATCTGATGACTCGTCTACTGAACATTGTATGAATATTCTAGTATTAATTATTGTCACAAATGCTCATGTAAGCAGGTCTACAAGCATGTATTGGATATTTGCCTGTTATTAAATGTGTGATAATGTGCAGCAATACTGATGGCTTTGTAGAATTAGGGAGTGGCCTTATTATAATCATTAAATATTAATTAAATTTGTTACACCATACACAAAGAACTGTCTCAAAATGACCATCTTAAAAGCCATATTTAAAATGATTTATGATAAACAGTTCCTAAAAATTCTCATCCAACAACACAATAAGAAAGATGAATTGACTTATTTACTGATTTGTTCCATTGCAGTGGGATGCCCTCCGCGGCCCATGCATTACTACATCTTGTCACTAATTCCTGGAAAGAGGTGACTAATATGTCCCATGGTTATAAAAGTTTATTCATACTGATAGTGGTTTTGTTTCAGAGGTCAATAAAAAATCTCTTAGGGATCTCTGACTCTTAAAAAGAAGATTACATTGTTTTTAAGTCTGGAAGAGTTCTGTTGTGTTGCTTTTAAGTCTGTGTAACCAGACTCTGTGTAATTTTATACCTTAAATCAAGATTTAATCCCCAAGTCCCCTAATCGCACAAAACCATAAACATCAGAAATATAGCTAGTTTCTTGTTTTAACACCATTATCCCCTTAAAAAAACCCTTCTCCAGCACACTATAATAAACTTATTATGTGATTCAATTCCGAATTTTGCATTGTTATCAGGTGATATCCAATATTGTGCAAGCAAATTTCCACCCATGCAAAAGGATGTTCTCTTCTTCTTCTCCCCATGCAACTCTCACCCCCAAATCTTCTTTCAAGAAGTGATATCTGAAGAAGTGTGCATGCACACGAAAGCGCATACCAAGAACAAACTTAGTTGGTCTCTAAGATGCTACTGGACAATTTTTTTTATTCTTTTTATATATTTCTTCTTTCAAGAGTCTTCCTCCCCAAGGTGGGGGAATAGGAGAAGAAGGGGAAGTTTCATTGTGCTAGGGTAAATCTCTTGGTGGGTGGACCCAGTTGGATCCTTCTTTGTGGTAGTAGTGGTATATTTTTTTATCGGCTGTTCCTGCCTATCAAGTGCTTTTCTACCATAAAATGCCTACAAATAAAATTTAGGAGTTTTCTTTATATATCAAAATGTGTTCTTATGCCATGTGATAAACAAAACCTGACCACTTGATGCAATTGCTTGTCCATATTAGGCCTGGTACATACATTTAACCTTCTCAATACTAGGTTGTTGATAGGCTTGTTTCCATCAGTCAGTTTCTGCTTACACTTCCCCTCCCCTCAATTCCTTTCACACCGGGACAAGACGCACCACTTGCTGCAAAGCACTTGCTGCAGCTCCCATCTCTTCCCATCCCTCCATGGCTGTTGGAGAGAGGAGGAAGGCGAGGGCTAAGGGAGCCATTTTTGTATTACTATAGCAGATAGTCCTCTGTCCTTTCCTTTAGATGATGGCAACATGTTCTGTGACATTGCCACTTTTGAGATCTTGCTTCATTAGATTGGGTGACTGTTTATTTGAAATTGTAATGAAATATTTACTTTATAGAGCTATAAGGATTAGCTGAGATAATTGAGTGAGGTTGATGTGGAGCTTTCAGTGTAATAGGTCCCCCCCCTTCCCCTTGTTTGAATACAGAGCTCTGCTAGGATGAATGAGGGAGCGAGTGTGTGTCTGCCTGTCACTTTCTCTCTATATATGTTGCTTTTTCTCCTGGAGATAAGTGGGGCCTAATGCTGAACAAATACTGGAAATCAGAAGCTACTGAGAATCATTCGCTTCCCTCTTTCCCATGGCAGCATGATAGACACTCAGTCAAAGAGCCTCCCCCCCTCCTCTCCGCAGAGCAACAATTTTGTCACCACAAGCAAATCCAATTGAAAAGTCCCTTCGACCGGAGGGGAGAAAACTCCAGTTGTCAGAATCAGCAAACAGAATGAAAAGAACCAAGAGGAGTAAATTGGCACCTGGTGCAGCCGTGGCTGTTTGTGATAGGCTGCTGCATTGTGTTGGGTAGACATTCAAGCATTTTCAGATATAATGGAAGAAATTAATGCAAATGAGTGAATGGAATGAAATGTATTTTAATGCAGATTTGAGGGACTCTCGCAAACTGCTTGATAACAAGTCACTGTTAGAAAAGGCCTACATTGTGAGGATTCATTTTCCCCCCATTTCTTCTCACTAGTGGCTCATAAGGGCCCTTTTGTTCTCTAAGTAAACTCTTTCTAAACTATTGACATTGCTCATTTATGTGGATTTCAGATGCCCCCCCCCCTTCTGACAAAGTAGCCTTGGGTGATCTGGGAAAACGTTAATTGCAAGAGGACAAGGAAACTGGTTGAAACAAGAAATTCAATCATTAAGTGTAATGTTGCAGTTGTCCATGCCTCATTATAACATGCACACAAGGCAATAAAATGCATGTTTCACAAACAAATCTTTTAACAAGTCTAGTTCAAGAGCCTCCAGCTTTGCATTCCTTTCTGTCTTTTAGTCTTTGGTCATGATCACAAATAAACTTTAGATGCCCTGTGCAGTCCTTCAGAATTATTTTAGAGTCCTGTAGATTTCAGTAAAAGCAAGCTTTTCATATTCTGGAATCATTATTTTGCCCATTCACTTCAGTAGTCCTCTGCTTTGAAGAGAATGCTTCGGTTCTTTTGCTTGTTTTATTATTGCATGGATGCTTGACAACAACAAACAAGATAGAGCAAATGTTCTGTGGAAATTTTGGTTGTGTGTGTGTGTGTGTTTCATTTCACCAAAACATTAAATAGATTTTCACTCATCTGTGCTCTCCTTTCTTTGCTTTTTGTGGGAATTAAAAGCATTTTATCTGGCTTCATTGAGTTTAGTGTGTTGTGGGGAGAGAACAGCTAAACAGAAAACATCTTCCTGGGTATCTGTAGCTTTAGAGCTACTAAGCTAAGAGACCCAAGAGTAAAGCAGTTAGAAGGGAAAGAGGTAACAGATTCAGCATTGTCCAAAAGTTCCAGACCAGTGATTAATGTGTAAGATAATGGACTTGGGAAATGAGTAAACACTCCCGTACTCCCTGCTTTGTGCTTGAATGACTTGATGACAAGGGCAGAGCAAGGTGAGAATTTAAACAGAACTATAGGAAAAAAGAGACAAAGACTAGCAACAAGCAAGCCAAAGTGGGAGTTTACTGGTTTGTGCTGTTGAACAGTATAAAATACTTATTTAAACTTTTGAAATGGATTTATTTAATACTATTATCCTTAGGTGTGCTCATTTTTTAAGGAAAGAAAAATTAAAGATTGACTTGGTTTGGATAAAACATTAGGGCTGTTAAGCGTTTGTTTTACACACTTAGTACAACTGCACTTTGCCTTTCAACCCATTTACTCAAGGGATGTTTATAAAAACACTACTTTAACTTTTAAAATTGATTAATAATT